CCAACGCCTTCATCTCTTTACACTTGACCTGAGGGGAGAGAGGGAGAATCTTTGAAAAAACTTCAAAGATCAAACCAAAATTGAATTTAGAAGTTCCTTTTTCTGATTTTTTTTTTTAAATCCAGTTTACTATGACATTATAAATTCGGATTGAACCTTACTAATTGCTTTTAAAATGTATGTCTTATTTCCCTTTTGTTCGAAAATCTAGAAGGTTTAGGCTCTATCTGGTACATAAAGTACTTTTTAGTTTTTATTTACTGACTTTACATGTATATTATAAGTAAAAATATTTTAGTTAATAGTGAAAAATATGAGTAAAAATGAGGACAAAGTTTAAAAATTAAGATGTTGCTTTTAGTATCTAGGAAATAATCTTTATTTGCATTTGGATTACTCCACGGACACGCATCTCATACTTTTCATGAATAATACATGCATAAACACAGATAAAGCTTGTAGCAAGTGGAGCCTTAGCTTTCAGTTTTCATGATTTTTTAACTAATATCAAATAAGTTTAATCTTTCCCTGAAAAAAAAATATCAACTAAGTTGATGCAACGACTATAAATCTTGTTGCTTTCTATTTGAAACTTTGATTTAGTTATTTATAAATCATAGAAAAATTTTAAAAGAAGGATTAAGAGATAGATTTATTACATGCTATAGATATGAAATCTGTTCGTAGAGATAAATCAGCATGAAGGTCCTTGAGATGATGGATTAAGAGATTTAGGAAATCTGTTGTATAAAGTCACCTGACAGTAGAACAACTCCAGGAAAGGAATACAGTAGAATAAGTCGTGAAAAGCAGATACTTAGTGTGAAAAGTTTCCTGAGTTTTTGTTTCAAAAAAGAAAATTTGATTTTCCTTCCAGTGTTGAAAAAATTCAACATAACTTTGTATACGAGCTAATTTAGGATGGCCGGAGATGTTAGTTCCTCTTTGCTTCCTTAGACAATAGGATTTTGGTTGAGGAGGAAACAGAACACAGTTTATGTAGTAACTTTCTTTAGATATCAGCTTAGAGTGAAGAACGGAGGAGATCTCAACAACCAAGACTGGCATTTGCTGCTTTTGGCTGCACTTTTTACATGGCATTTGAGAGGAACCCTGCAACCTTTATTGTCCTGTAACTATTATCAGTGAGTCACCGGGTGAATCTTAGTTATCAGGGAACTATCAGCAGTAGGAAACCAGGTCAGATGGTTCTTCAGGATATCTAATAATTTTAAAGAACATTCGTTAAGAATTTATCTGGAGGACGGCAAACGCTTAAGTCAAGAAATCAACTATTCATCTGCTTTTCCACTTTCAGAGAGAAATTCCATTTGCTTAAAAGTATGTGATACTCCTGCCACATGTAGACAAATAATTATCCAAGAACAGCAAGTTATGGTTTTGCTAGAATTTCTTCTCAGTTTAAAGGCCAGAAAATAAGAACTGTTGTGATGTCCATTTTCCAGTTGCTGGAAATAATTCCCAGTGAACTATATAATTCTAAAATCCTATTTCATAGTATTTCTTCTGAGAGAATTTTTGTTATGAAGTATGGTTTGTGAGGGATGGTGCACGAGAATGATTAATTGTATAAACTCACTGCAATATTTTTCACATCTGTAGAGCTTCCTTGAATTCTCGATTATATCACTCTTTAGTAAATGAGCTTTTTTATGGAATTTATTTAGAAATCTATGTTTAGTTCAATTGGAATGTAATAAAAATTCTATTAAAAAATGATAAAAATTAAATTTATAAGAAATTGCAATTAAAATTGAAAGAATGCATTTGAGATCTTATCAAATCTTAATTCAACTTTATTTCTCTAGAATTTTGGTTTATAAACGCTTTTGATGGTATTTTCACCTTTGTCGTAGTTAAATAAATTGAATTTTCAAAAGAATCCCACAAATAAAAACGATTTGTCACAAAAGACTGCTCTATGTTCATTAATGTGGCTCTTAGTTTTCACTTATTTCAAAAAAAATGTGGTTCTTAGTTTTCACGTTTAAAGTGTATGACATCTCAAGCAGGAAGGAGTGCCATTGCATGCTCTTCTTGACTCCAGACAATGATTTCGCTGGCACGGATCAGGTAATTTAGAGGACCTGCTATTTTTTCATTCATGACACCCTTTAATGAATCGTTAAAAGTTTGCCGAGATGTATTCCTATGGTTGTTTTGTTTGTATAATTGATGGTGATCTGTTGAAATTAAGGAAGACAAAAATATCTGTTTTCTGTGCAGACCATCTCGCTGGAAGAAATCAAGGCAACAACAGCAAATATGTGAGCTCTGATGAATTATTAGATTTAACTTTGTACTTGGTCAAAGGAGAATACGAGAAAAAGAAAACAAGGAAAACAACAATTATATTGTTTGTATGTAAATCTGTATACTAACAAGCAACCAAATCTTTCTGTCTTCTTTATCTATTCCTATTTCACTCTTCCTTAATCTGTAAACTTCTCTCCACCAAATCTTGGTGCAGCCGTGTTCTTCTTCAGCTTCTTACACTTGGGACGTGCCTTTCTTTTTCCTTTGTTGGTAAAGTTGTTTGGCACAATGTAATATTTGCCCAACTTAAACATATATAAACATAAATGGCAACCTAGTAAATGTTTATAATGCTGTTAAATAATTTTAAAATATAAGTGGGTTTTTGTTGATTTTAATATAACTAATTCTTGTAATGTTTTTAGTAAATGTATAAAGCTCTAACATTCTAATTATTGTAATTAAATCTCTGATTTATTTATTTTTAAAAAATTAATATTAACTTATCTGTTAAAATAAGTAGGTTAAGAGACATGTTAATATTATGTAATAGTCATGTCATAAAAAATTAATGATATAATTATCACATGATTAAAAATTAAATTGAACATATTTATAAAATTTGAGTCGATACATAAAGAAAATATTCGTTGAAATAAATAATATTTGACAGATAAAATATAAATTACGTTAATATACGTAAAAATTCAATCATCAATTTTTATCACATAGTTAGGAACAATACAACTATAAAGATAATATTTAAAGGGTGAAATTTGAATCTTAAAATAGATGAAAGTTTTTGAATGTAATTTATTAATCTATGGTAAATATGTTTTTATTTTTTATGAAATAATTATTATATGATAATGACGTTTTAAGAATTATTTATTTTATAAAGTGAATTATTAAAATAATTATTTTAAAAAAATTAATTGAAATGTCAAATACGAAATTTAAAAAGGGTAAAAAAAAATCATGAAACGTTTTATAATTAAGCTCAGAAAATTAACTTTAAAGTTAGTAAAATGGACATTTAAGCATCTTTGAATTAAAATTTTGGAATTTTGTGTCGAATAATAAATTTATTACCTCCTTTTAGATGAATTTACCCAATTTAAATTATTTATTGGTTTGATCTATTCTGAACCGTTTGATATGTTGAAGGATTCCCGGCCCACATCAAATGTCAGCGATTCGCATAGTGAAACGGTGATTGACAGCGACTCTTTCTTCTTCCCGATGGAATCCTTCTCCTCTATTACCTTCTATTCTATTCTTCTTCTTCAGAATGCGAATTTTGTAAGTTTTTGTTCTGAACGATCGTTTCGACCTCCATGTCAGACCCCGATGTCACGATCACTCTGGGACGCTCTGGTCGGGTACTTCTTCTATTTCTATTTGCCTCTATTTGGTTCCCGATGAGCCCTACTTTTATAAATTTTGTATCTACATCTCCGGTTCGCTTTATTTGATTCATAAACAACATATATGTATTTGTATGATATGTATGCATATGAATCTAGGTGGTCAGGAGAGGAGCAACATCGAGGAGTTTGAGTGGACGGAAGCGAACGAATGGACAGAGTCAACCTACTGGTTCGTTTGCCTCAAACAAAAGGTGCGTGGTTCTGCTGCTGCGCAGATTTTTTTTCTTGGCTTGGTGCAAATTTTCGTTTTTCTTTTTAAGTTAGAACATTCTTGGTTTGGTGCATACCTTGAACTTTGCAGTTATTTATTATTTCTATAATGTTGTTAAACTGTATTAACTAGAAGAAAAGACCTTGAATTTTGTTACTTGTTTGTTAGCAAGCTTCAGGAAAGTACCAAAACTTTAAGTAATGTGGATTTACTTTTTCTGCTCCGGGAGAAGTTAAATATTTAGCTGAGTAACTGCTGTTAAGATCAGTTCGTTAATATTCTTTCCAATTTGATGGATTTCTATGAAGCTTATGTAAATTGTCAAATAGCCTTTTTTTCTTTTAAAGTAATTTGTCTTAGGGTCATGAGGAATGTTTTTTTTTTTCTTTATGAAAGCAAACCCTTAGCTGTACAGTCACATGCCAATGGAGAGAATTCTTTTCCTTTTTCAACAGGCAACGGGGAAATGGTATCGCGTGGAACTCCCGTGTCAATGTAGTAGATGGTAACGATTAATTTGGTTTGGTTTTGTGTATTTCACATTTACCTGGCATTTTTATTCATTTTTCCCCTTTATTCTTACTGTATTGATTTGAGTGAAGCTCCCCAGGTTGGCAAAAATGATCTCAGATTAAAACTGATCCATAAAAGCCTATCTAAGCAAATAGTGGGTGTCAGTAAAGGACAGAGGAGGAAGAAACTGCATGAGAATCTGTTAAAATCATCTCAGTCATGGTCTGGTGTTAGCATGCTGCAACAAAGTCACGAACCGAAGAGAACTAGTATTTTGAGACACATGCCCCCTGAAGAAGTTATATATGATCTTCAAACAGGAGTGTCATTGAGGAAACCTGACTCTGTGCATGAAATGACTGGAAGATGGGCAGGGCTGGGGCCTACTACAATGAAAACTACATCAGGAACATCTGGGCCACGTGTACAATATGCATCACCTAGTGGCATGGTGCAGAGAAGTTCACACATGGTATATCTACTTGCTTTATTGTCAAAAATCTCCAAACAGGCAACTAGTGTTTAGTGTCTTCAGATGATCTTTATGCACATACTTAGTTGAATTTTCTTTTCTTATTTGTGGTACTTTCAACAGGGGGAACAGCCTCTCACAGTTTCAAGCTTTTTGCATTCGCTTGGCTTAGACAAATATGCCATTCTTTTCCGAGCTGAAGAGGTGAGTGCCCTGCTTGTATGAAAAGAACTAAAAGCCATATAAATCATGATTTCAGAAGGCCAATGGAATCTATTTTGGTAATTTTAGTTTGAGCAAAAGCACACGAAAGTTAATAGGCAATTGTATTAGCCTTCTAGAGTGTAACCTAGGAATTTGCAACGTTATTTTACATTAAGTAAGGCAAGAGGATATTACTTAGTGAACAGAAATAATGATTTCAGGCTGAGGAGTGGGGCACCTCCCAGGTTTTTTTAACTTTTAGATGTGTTTGTCTGAAATGGTATGAGGAGACTTTTGAACTTAACTTTCGTTTCTGTTTTTTTTTAATTAAAGAAAAGGAAAAGGATATTATATTAATAGGCACCTGGTATGCCCGGCCCCGCAGAAAAGGACCAAAACTATTTCAGAAGAACACAAAATGTCAATAAAGGCTCTAAGATCTTGCCCTGACAAGATCATTTCTGGTATTATTAACCCTCTGAAATAGGTTGGTCTGGTTTTCAAATGTCATATAAATGCTTAATCAAAGTCATACGCATAGCTGATCATCGAATACGGATTCCCCTTCCTCTGATCATGCAAATCTTTAGAACTTCTCGGTATCTCTGAAACCTGCAACTTATGCTGCTAAGCTCTTGAATGCTTTATGTATGGACCATGTAATTTCAAATAGGTGGAAAGTGAGTCAGAGTAGGAGATATGGTAATAGGAGCTGTAAGGCTGTTGAAAAGAGGAAAATAAGAACTTGAAAATGACCCAAAAAAGAAAGAAAAACCTGCCCGTGTAGATAGGAATATAAGGCTGAAATTGTTGATTAACAAGTTATGAGGAAAGACTCATGCACACTGCATGAGAGTGATCAATAGAAGCCCATATCTTTCTTTTAGCCAGGAAGTTCGGATTTTTTGTTGATTTCCGACATCAAGGTTGGATGCGCATCTAGCACAGAGTGCTTTCTTTAGTTATCAACATGACTTTATGTGCAGTAGATTCTTAATTCTTTATTTCCTTTTTTGTTTACAGGTAGACATGACAGTATTGAAGCAGATGGGAGATGAGGACCTAAAAGAGTTGGGGATACCAATGGTATTATCATTAACTTTTCTATTACAACAAGTTGATCTTGTTTCTATTTGATGACTTGTAACCATTGACTCTATAAATCATGTTTGGCAACCAATAAGTTGGTAACTCGGTTACTAATTACTCAGACAAAGTGGTTAGAAAGCTAATAGATAGACAGTATGATGTTAGCAGGAATTAATTTTTTTGCACCGAGTTTGTTGCTTCTATTTAGTATGAACTGATTTTCCGATATTATGCTTGATTTACAGGGACCAAGGAAGAAGATTCTTATTGCGATGAAGGCCTGTTCAAAACGACATCCACCTTAGCTGCAATACTAGATGTTTATGTAAATGAATTTGTGTGATTTCAGAAGTTAAAAGAGTGTAAGTAACAGGTAATATATTTCAACATTGAGATGAAGATTTGCCGTTGAAGTACTCCAACAATTCTCCTCTTATGCAATACAAATAGTTACTGATTTTTCTTTTTTAACCTGAGGAGGATATATTGGTTGATTTTAATTAATGTTTAAATTAAGTATATTAATCTAGTAAGATTAGCATATAAATAATTTTAAAATACCAATTTATTTTTTACAGAAGTTGCAAGCTGATATTCTTATAAATAAAATGAACAATACAAAAAACAAGAATTCAACATTGAGACCCAATTGGCATTTAAGAGACTGCGTTTTTGGCTGAACCCTCCATCTAAAAACGATTAACAAGCTTTAACCGAATGTTTACTTGTACTTGTTGGAGATGTGGGACGCCCGCCACAATCTTTCCCATTCCTTAAACCCAAAGCAACCAAAAACTTGTCATTCCATCTCCCATTACCGGCCATCACCGTCGCCTTTAAAGCCTGGTTGCAGGAATGCTCAGCGGGAAACCGGTGCTTGAGGCAGACCTTCAAATGGCAAACCTTGCATGTGCTGGTGTTGGAGAATGTTAACACCTCCTTGCACCGTCTGACCGGACAAACAACCTTTTTCTTCTTGCTCGGATCACAGTCCATAGATTTTTTATGTCTTTCTACCATTAACCTGGCTGAATCTTCGTCAAACCCCGTGGTTTCCAGAGAAGTCGAGCAAATTCCACAAATAACGACTCTCCTGCTATTGTGCTCTGATTTCGGGCACTCGTGAGACTTGTACGATCTGTGTTCTAAACAGAATACCTACAACATATAATTAAATCAATTCATTCAATTCATGCATTGTAATTATCATATATAATTACTCCATTTATTGAATTCCAACAGAATACCTTTTTGCAGCCATCACAATGGAAAGGAAGAAAATCGAGCTGATGACAATCTGGATGCTGGCAATGGTCTCCTAAATCTGGGAAAGCTTCTGTTCCTCCTCCCATGGTGTTGTGTTTTAGATGAAAATTCAGAGAATGATGATTGTTGTTGAGGTTGAAAGACGCAGATTGTATATATAAATAGGTTAGCTTGGGGAGGAAGACAGGAAGAAAAGGCAACCGCCTACCAGAAGAGGAGACGGAAACCTCCTGTGTTTTGGTTTTATTCTTATTAATTATCTTGATGTTTCTAGACTCAAGCCTCACGCGTTCTTCCTATTTTGACTACCCACGTGGATTATATTTTCAAAATCACCCTTTTATTTTCAAAAATCTTTCAAACCAGCCCTTAGCCGTTAGATAGACTTGACACCGTTAATTGAGGTACACATGGCAGCTGATGTGGTTTTTCTCTTTGTACGGGTCACGTGTAAGCCACGTGGACGTCCACGTGACACAACTGAATGAAACCATAACAGGTCCTCTTTTCTCCCTTCGTTCTTCATCTTCTTCCATCAAACCAACCCAGCAAAAAATGGGCCCTAACTTGACAACCCAATTTCATCTTCATCTTCTTCATTGTGTTTCCCCCCTTCATCACATTAATCTCCTGCATATTTGAAAACTAGAAAAGTGAGGTTGAAACTCTAACACTCCAAGGCCGGGATGACTAAATTTATATTAATAATAATTTTAAAAAAGTTTAATTTTAATTTTTTTTTAGAATTTTGGGAGAAATATACATTTTGAATGTATTTGAAAGTAATTTTCAAAAGTTATGGTCAAACTGTAAATAAAAGAATGATATATTTGAACAGAAAATCGAAAAACATGGGCCAAATAATAAATAAATAAAAAATGACCACGTGGGACGACAATGTCGGCAGCACGACGAACTGTCGTGTGCCACGTGACGAACACACCAACACGGTTCCATGCGAGAAGCCACGGGAGCAATCCGCGTGCCAAGCCGATCGAACAGCTCGAGGCCTCTCCTGTGTGCATGAACTGTCCAGATCGATTTCTCGAATAGGCTCGATCGAACAGCCTGCGTGTCTCTAATCAAACGGTCTATATCAATATTCCCATTAGGCGCGATCGAATGGTCATCACCGCTCCACGTGTCCCTGTACGGACAACCCAAATTGAAGCCGATGAGGTATTTAAACCTTGCTACCTAGCTCCTAAAACCTTAGTCGCCTAGACCATCGGAGAAAAAGAAGAAGGGCGGCCGGAAAACGAACTAGTTGTGGAAGAAGAGGAAGTTGACCATTGTCATCATCACACCAGAGACCAAATCAATGCCGAAAGGTGAGTTTTTTTTCTTGTTCGCTCTGTCTTTCCATTTTAAACCACCTCAAACCCTTATCGACGTCGAAAAATCAAAAGAGAAGCCAGAAACGGAGGGCGGAGCTCGGCTGAGCCACCGCATCCGAAACAGAAAAACCCCTCCAATGAACTCGAATCCTCTTTCTGTTCCCTTTCATTTTTTTACCATAGGTTATCTAATATATTTTCAGTGCAGGACAATCGAAAGAGGACCGCGACCGCAAGGGAGGAACGGCGGAGTTGTCGTGCTAAAAACTCCAAACTGCTGGTAAGTTTCGATTTTCCTTATATTTTTTTACTAACAGAAGCCACTTAACCCCCAAATAATGCAGATTTTCACCCAAAACTAGCCTGACCAGTGCCGGAGCCACCGTAGTCGACGGAACCAGTGCCAGAGCACGGTAGCGACACCATACTGGAACCCCAAACTGGTCTTCGGGAGAATTTTGACCATTTTTGGCTTTTTTTTACATATTTCCATGATATTTAACGTATGTTTTTATTTTTACAAAAAAATCCAAGAAATTCGAGAACTAGGAACCGCCGTAAAGTATAATAAAAAATGTGGTGTTTCGGACATCAACCCGGAATAAGAATCTCTCACCCTTTCTCCCGTTACGGTTAAATTAAAGTTAAATAAATAATAAATAATAAATAACAAATAGAAAATTATAAATGTTGGCGACCCATTGGTTAATTAAATATAGGTCACCGATGGAGCTAGTAACTGGTAACTGTATAATTGCCCTTAGCTTATTTGTGTTGTCTATCGGTTGTTATATTACTTTAATTACCTATTATTACTTCGCGTACTTTGATTTATTGATTTTAATTACTTTTCTTGTTTATTTAGTTTACTCAATTATTTTCATCTTTATCCGTTAATTCAGTTTTGAAACAAATATCTTAATTACATTTTCTTGAATCACTGGGTTTTAATTTATATTGCCTATTAAATGATCGTTCTATTTTTCTGTAATTATGAAGTGTGAGTGTTGCACGTATTTAGTGGCTAGATGATAATGTAAACTTGTACGTGCAGGCAATGTTGTAAAAAATTAAAGGAGCTTACCGAGTATCATGAAAAATGGTTGACGGATTTAGTACATAAGGTAAACCCTGCCGTTGACATTATCCTTAGTCGGACGGGACTGATGAATCCCATAACAGAAGGAGTTAGGAATTGTTTGATTATGCTCATTACTGGATGAGGTATTGAAGCGGTGGTGTATTTGGCGTCTATTACCGGACGAGGTACAGAGACGGTCGATTGATTAATGAAGTGGATATTTGGTCCACGTGTGGTGGTAACCCCTATGGACCTCCAGCGGCACCGGTAAGTAAGTAAAATGATAAATGTTGATTACCATTGGTCTTTCAAAATGTATAATAAAAATTACTGTTCTAATTCTTTCCTTCATAAATGGCATCTGGAAACTTAAAAGTGGGTGTAGAATAAATAGTTTTCAGTTAAATGAATGTACTTAAGAAAAAAAATAAACTTAATTGGTTGTTTTACAATTTCTATAAACTTTTAGTTTTCTGTATTAATGGTAAGACGTTGATATTCTTATTGAGATAGTGTAACTCACCCTTTATTATTAGTCATTTCATATCAAGATGACTAAGACTCGAATCCTAAACAGCAAGAAAACTAAGTAGAAGATTGCCTCTTCACTTACCCAGTTTCTAGTAGAGGATGAACATATTTGTTTTCTTTACTACTCTTTTTTATTTGTCTTCTAAGAGTATTCACGTACTCCTATTATGCATTTTGAGTAAACTGTACAAGAAATGTAACCCTAAACTCTAAATTATTTTTGAGAAAATTATAAATTTCAGTTTTATTTATCTCAGTATTTCTGATTTATATGCTCGAAATGCTAAGTAAGGGTTCGGGCCTTTACAGAAATTTGAAGAAAAAAAAAACCAGAAGTAGGTGAAGCTCGAGTCCAGTGGACACCCGAAACTTTTGAAAACCCAAAGCTACTAGAAACCCGAAATGTTGGTAACCCGTAATTACTTCATGTGAAAATACTTTACAATTATAAACTTTTTTTTTTTTGTAAAAAAGAAAGAAAACACAAGGACCAATATACTTGGATTTAAAAAAAAGGCCCATTCTTGTTTTAATAGATAGAAATTTGTAAAATATCTATTTCATCAAATAAATAGAATTTTATGTTTTAGGAAAACAAAATTAATAATTTATTAGAATAAGAGAGTGGAGAGAGTTATGATTGAGATTGAAAAAGCCCCCATGAGGGTTGATGCAGCTTTTAGATTTGAAGTTGGACCAATAATTTCAAATTGGCTCCAAAACTAAGATTTTGTTTGAAATGAGAATTTCTATTTATTTATTATTATTTTTTTTTTTTTTAAAAAAAAAAAAAGTAAAGATTGAACGATAATTCTATTTAATGATTTTTAATAATTAAACATTTGCTTTACACTCCTAAACTCAATTACATATTCAATCCTCAAACTTAAGGGATTACAAGTAGGTTATAATTTATTTATTTATTTATTTTATCATTATTTATCACACTTTTTTAATATAATAGAATATATTTATTATATTGACTAAATAAATTCCCACCGTATTTTACTTTTTGTTACCAAATAATATTAGGTTAGAAATTTTATTTTTTATTTAAATAGCACATTCTTATTTATTCTTTTAAATGTAAAAAAAATTCTTATTCGTTGTATAAATCTCTTTAAAATTGACAGTTAAATTCTTTTGATTGAAATAACCCACATTAAATTAAATTTATAAAAAATTCAACAAAGTTTCTTATAAAAATAAATAAATAAATGAAGAAAGGCAATGTTCCTAATTAGACCACTGTGCCCACTTGGCCAGTCTAGCAACGTACTTAACTAACAATGTGCATGACATTTGTAAAGGTAACCCCTCCTCTCCACGTTTTCTAAAACTCTTTTTATGCTTAATATATGTATGTAAACATATTCAATATTTATAAATAATATACGGAGAAATTAGTAGTAATAGAACCAAAAAATTAGTGCCTATATAATGACATATACATCACCACCAAACACCCTTTATTTCTCTGTGCACATTTTGGATTCTATTGCCAAATAAATAATTGTATTATACAGTTTGTATACGTGTGTGTGTGATCGAGACTTGGCTCTCCACATTTGATAATTTTAGATTTAATTTCTTGGAAAAGGAAATCATTGTGAATTATGATCGGAGTATATTTCGGAATACATAGAATTAAAATTATATATTCTTAATTTTTATCGAATTTAAAATATATTGTTCTGATTCATCGTAAAATATTATATAAATTTAATTTTTATCAAGAAAATTATTATATTTTTTTTATTAAAAAAAGTTGTGTATTTATAAATTAATCTGAATTGAATTTCAAAATCTTATAGATGCATGAATTTTGTGAAAAAAAATATTAACTATACTTTTGGGGGTTATGTTGAGAAAAACACAGAGGAATCCAATAACTTTTGTAAAGCAGTGGGGGGTTGGGAAAGACGTCCAGCCTAGAACACTCCAAAAGTCAACATAATAATATTTTAAAAAATTAATAAATTAAGAAGGGTCCAAATACTTAGCAATTAAGAAAATAACTAGTATGCAATAATTTGATTTGGTCTGCCAGTGTAAAGTAAACAGGAAACCTCTCCTTTGCATTTAAGTTAAAAAGGGAAAGTAAATGGGACATTGTGAAAGGGATTTAAAATGTTAAAAAACAAAAGAGCTTTCTCCAGACGTGAAACATATGGTTAAAATAAAGTAAATACTTTTAATATTTATAAAAGTAAATACATTCAGATTTTGACAGTATCTAAAGTTTATAATTGTCATTCTTTCTTTTTCATTTTTAACTCAATTAAATTACATGTATTCAAAATTAATATACCACAATTCGAACTTATTGAATATATCAAATCTATTAGTTATGAAATATAAAAGTAAAATTAAAAAATATATATATATATGACACACATCAATCGGTTTTTATTTTTTATTTTTACATAATTTTATACATAATGTGATAATTTATTTATTTAAAATTTTAAATTTTAAATTTTAAATTTAATTAATTACAAATTATCTAATAAATAATATTAAACATTAAAACTAGATAATGTGATAGAAGTATGATAATATTATTAGGTGGTTAATTTTTAATTGAGGACAAATTTTTGAATAACTATTAATCACCTATTTTTTCTCACAAATGCAAATCTTCTAAAGAAATAAATATATGATAATTTGTTTACATTTTTATTAGAAATTATCTTATATTTATATTTATATGATTTTTATTTTTTATTTTTTTAAAAGTAAATTACTCTTCATATATAAAGTTTGAATCCAATAAGTTGTACAGAAGTAGGCTCTTAAAACAATTAATTAATAATTCACACCGCCTTATTTCCACCGATATATATATATATATATATATATATATTTGCTCAATTTCGTTAACGTAATATAAGCTGTTAGATTTTATCCGCTTAAATATATGTAATTTTATAAAATATTTTATATGTAATTTTAACATGCAACAAGCAATCAATCACGTATACCTTAAAGCGGCCAAGACGAATCATATTCCTTACTTTTCTCTCCTCCTAAAAAACACCTGCTCTGCAACCCCCCTAATCTTTCTCCCAAATCTTTCTTCCTCAACAAACTCCCTTATCCCTCTGTTTTTGCTGCATTACTCATATCCGTTCTCTGTTCCATTTCTCTTCTTCTTCTTCTTCTTTCTTCTTTCTTCTTCATGTTTTTTGTATCTACCTCTTTTCCTCCATAATCATGGAGTTTCGACCCTATTTCCTTTTACATTCCACAATCCCCTCTTCACTTGCTAATTTCATAAAAGCTCCGATATCCATTTAAGAGAAACACCACCACCACCCACAGCCATGGAATTTCGAGAAGCGGTCATGAAGCTAATGGTTCACAAACCACCGCCTGAGCAAACCATCTTCCAGAGAGACAAAAATACTGCCGCAGTTTCTCCCGCCAAGCATAAATGGAAGATCTCCTTGAACAGACCATCTTCATCGGTTTCCTCGAAAACCACACCAGTACAACATACACAGCAGCACCCACCGCAGCAGGGGCAGACCCCTAAAGAGTTTCTTTGTCCTGTTTTTGGGTCTTTAATGGCTGATCCAGTTATTGTCTCTTCAGGCCATACTTTCGAGCGAGCCTGCGTTCAAGCCTGCAAAACCCTGGGCTTCTCCCCTACAACTGCGGACGCTATCCCACCTGATTTCTCCAACGTCATTCCTAATCTCGCTCTTAAATCTGCCATTCTTAACTGGTGCAGTAATCGTTCTCTTGAACCCCCTAAACCCCTTGATTCTTCCTCGGCGGAGAAGCTTGTCCGTACATTAATTGACTCACAGAAGCCGAAACCTGATACGCATCGGAAGAAGAAAGACCTTAAAGTATCCGCTTCAGAGAAAGAGCTCATTCAAGGAATTGCAACTAATCCTTCGGTGAGAGATAACCACGCTTCAACAGAAGTGACTCGGCGCCCGACTCACTTCTACTCGAGTTCTGACGAGTCGGTCAAGTCGACCCTGCCTCTGCAACTTGCGACTCGACCGAGTTGCTATTCGTCTTCATCTTCATCAGAGATGGAAATCCTAAATCCTAATTCCAAAGAAGAAGAAGAAGAAGAAGAAGAAGAAGAAGATTTTGTTACGAAACTTAAGAGTCCACAAGTGTGTGAGATTGAAGATGCATTGACTTCACTGAGAAAGATGACCAGGACACGAGAGGAAAGCAGAGCCCGTCTCTGCACTCCTCAGTTATTATCAGCCCTACGATCTCTGATCATCTCGAGGTACACCGTAATTGAGGTGAACTCGGTCGCATTATTAGTAAACTTATCTCTAGAAAAATCCAACAAGGTGAAGATCGTACGGTCAGGAATAGTCCCACCGTTGATCAACGTGTTGAAGGGAGGATCCCCTGAGGCGCAAGAACACGCTTCCGGTGCTCTCTTCAGCTTAGCCCTCGATGACGAAAACAAGACCGCAATTGGCGTACTAGGTGCATTGCAACCTCTTCTTCACTTACTACGATCCGAGAGCAAGCGGACTCGGCAAGACTCCGCCTTGGCTCTTTACCATCTCTCTTTAGTTCAAAGCAACAGAAGTAAATTGGTGAAACTGGGTAGTGTACCGGTCCTGATAAACATGTTGAGGTCGGGTCATATGCGGGGTCGGGTTCTGTTGATACTCTGCAACTTGGCTTCGTGTTGGGAAGGGCGAACGGCTGTGTTAGACTCGGGTGGAGTGGAGTGCCTGATGAGGATCCTAAGAGGGGAGAATTTGGAGGAGTCGGCTCGGGAAAGTTGTGTAGCGGTGCTGTACGGGTTGAGCCATGTGGGGTTGAGGTTTAAGGGTTTGGCCATGGCGGCCGGAGGGGCAGAGGTATTGCGGAAGGTGGAGAGGACAGGGAGCGAGCGGGGGAGAGAGAAGGCGAGGAAGATGTTAGAGATGATGAGAAGGAGAAAGGAGATGGAGGAGACGGTGGAAGAAGTGGACTGGGAGGAATTGCTTGACTCGGGATTGATGAGTCGGAGTCGGGTCAGACCGGAAGGGTCAAGTGTGAACTCATCGGAGTTTTGAACCGAGTAATATTGGATATTTTTTCTTCTCATTTTAATTCTTTTTTTTTTATATATATATAAAAAAAAAAGTATTTTATTTGGAGTCGGGGTGTATTTAACTTTTCCATTAAAAATAGAATTTTGGTGGTTTTATTAAAAAAAAAAAAAAAAAAAAAAGAAGAAGAAGGGAGAATTGTAAAGTGGTGTGTAAATGAAGTGAGAAGAATTGATTCCCGAGAAAAGAAGGTTTTTAAAAATACCATTTACTTTTTATTCATACCTTCAAGAAACTACAAAATATAATTTCTCGAATATTATTATGTTAATTATGATTTTAAATGATTAATTTATTTTCTCTCTCTTTATATGCTTTTTTCGTCCTGGTTCATTGATTTCTTATGATGATTTTCCATTGAAAAAAAACTGTTTTTCTCAATTAATTGAGTTTCATTCAAATTGTTTAAAGTTACAAAAAAAAAAAAAAAAAGTAGTCAAGTAAGTTACCTTCAACACTCCAATAGCTCTTTAATGCACTTATTATAAATATTTAAATTTATTTTATCAATTCGAATTATATTATAAGGTCTATAAATAAAGGTAAAATCATAATACAAAATAATTATTTAGATATTCTAAATTGATCTACAGTATTAGACTCAAATGAAAATTCTGAAACTATTCTTCATTCCCTTTAATCTCCTAACATTTTTTCTATTTTTCCCATCTCTACCTCTACCCCCTCAACCGTACATAATTAATCTTACCTTTTTCAAATTACCTGCGATAAAAAAGATCAAAATTTTTCCTAATCTAAAGTATGAAAATTTGTATGGCTTTCTTGATAGATCTCTACCCTCTCTGCCAAAAACATTTATCTCTACGGATGGATTCTTAATTATCAATATTTCATTCACAGATCGAAGTAACAACATAGTAATCAAATGAATTTTGAATTTAGTCTCTAAAGAAAGTTTTTATGATATCATCATTTCGGGCTATGCACATTAGATATAGAATGACATGAAGGATCAATTTTAGTAGAATAATGATTCTTGTAACTTTCAGCTTCGACATGATAAATTGACTAATCATACACAACATAGAAACTCTATGAATGTTTACTTCATAAAGGTAAAGACATCATGAGAAGAATTAATCAATTTCATACCAATGTACTTATGGTAAAATGCACATGTGGAGTTGCTAAGATAAATATATACTTTCAAATGGAATATATAATGTCTTTCCCCATGGGATAAAATTAGCTGCTTAAATCAGGGGCCAATAATTGATATTGGTCCAATCCCCTGCATTATCAAAAGCATTTTCTTCAGTTTCTTAAGAAAAGTGTGAAAAAGTTATTAGTTTTCATAATGGTTCTCATTTAGTAAGTAAAAATGAGTTTTTTGATTAAGTCAGATTATCACAAGAGATTTAACTTTGATGGATTTAGAATGGTTCTCTTTAATTGTAATTTACATGGACATATAATAGACAAGTGTTACAAAATCAATAGTTACTGGTATTTATACAATTAAAGACAAAAGTGACAAATTGCTTTTATAAATCAAGTTTCTATAACTGTATCTACTAACCGGCTTCCTGTTCATTTTGGTATTACTGATAAACAAGGTCCAAATTTAATTGGTAGTTTTATCTGTACTCTCAGTTATCATGAGCACTAACAATTGATGACCTTGTTGTCTAATCATTTGACTTAATTTGTTAAGAATAATGACAATAATGGTGGTTTTACTTCGTATATATAGCAATTGTTGGTATATGTATGCGTGTTTCTCAAAATGTGAGGTTTAAGAAAAGATAAAAAGTAATTCCTACACTTCTAGGCACATTTGCTCAAATGCAAATGTTTTTATTTCATTATACTTTCACTTGGCCGAATAATACATACATTAGGGTTTAGTTATATGGTGATATTTAACTCACTCCAAGCTTGCTTGTTAAAAAAGTGTTGTTTCTTTTGCAATTTATATTGATATATTGTCTATTAGCGTACTTATTAATTATACACATCTCATAATATTTTATTTCTTGATCATTTTCTGATCTAGGATCATCACAACAAAAAGATGATTAGTAATAGTAACAAAATAGAATATTTTTCATATTTTTCATATTGCTGGTATTGATAATTTTTATATATTAATTTTATCCCGTCAAAATAAAATAAATAATTAAAATAATAATAATATAGCAACAGACAATGATAATAAAAAATTTGGTGATGTGATGAGTGGAAAAATTGAATTAGTCCATGTCATTTATTATTATTATTATACTATATTTTGACTTATTTTTCTTTTATTTTTATTTTTATTTCAACGAAGATGGAATAAAAAGAGGAATGAAGAAGGAAAAGATAGGAAAAAGGGAAAAAGAAAAAAGACAAAAAATTTGAGGAGAAAAGGACAAAAATGGGAAAAAGAAAGAAAATTAAAGAGGAAAAGAACAAAAAAGAAAAAGAGAAGAAGAAAAAAAGTGAGAAATAGAAAGAGGAAAAAGACTTAAAATAAAGGGATGGACCATGCCACTGTAGTCTGTTTTAATTTCACTAGAAAGACTTATTTCAAACAGCTTCATTTTCTTCATCCTTTCATTTTAGACATTGCATGTCGAAAGATTAAAGATGAAGAAGTAAAAGATTATTGATGAGTCGGCTTACCGACTCGTTGGAGAATAAGGAGGAAACACCAAAGCAGAGGATTCTTTTTTAAGGTGAAGCTGAGAGTTCATTAATTCCCAATCAAGAGAAGCATAAAGGAACAAGAAAAGTGTTCATTTACACAGAAAGTAACTTACATGTTTTACTTAATAAACAATAAAAATTAGATGGAGCAACAAGTATTATACCTAAAACTTTGAATGAAGCCCCTTCCTATTTCATACACTTCCAATTTAAGGAACCAAACACAAGCTTGACACAACAAAAGATTAATGGAAAATACGAACGCTCCTCCATTTTTACAGGACCCATGAAAGAAAGACGTTGTTAAACCCTAATATTCCCCTTTTCTCTCTCTTTTGTCATTCAACCCGTTCCCGTTCCTCCCTCACAAACATCTTCTTTCTCTTCTGCCTGTCACGTCTCAAGTTTGGGATTTTCTCTCTTCTGCCCATCATTGAAAATTTATTAAGACATATTCATTCAAAATTTTTGCATGATACAAAGTAGCTAAATTCTAATTTAATTACTAATGTTTGCACATTTGTGCTATCAATGATATAACATTTTGTCATATTCAACAAAAGGCATGACATATTTAATTGTGTTCAATCAAGATCTCTCACTAATTGAATAGTGTAACATTGTTAACCTTCTTGTCACATGGCATGCTATGTCCTTCATAATATATCATTAAATTGTATATTAATAACTGAAATTGAACTTTAGTAAATAACATGGTTATTTATCTTTAATGTATAAATATATTTTGTACTTAAGAATAACAGTATGATGAGTACAGAATACGGGACCCCTCCCCTATTCCCACCTTATCAGTCTATTACCATCTAATGTTCTTAACTTAAAAAATTCGGAATGAATAGAAAAATCTTCTTCTATCTCGACCTTGAGTGAGACATTTATCTCAATATTTATTACATCAATTCAGTTCACATATTTAACTATAAATTTTATTAAATTATAAAAATTTAAGGTTAATTTAAAAAAAAATTATAAATTTAATCAAAATATCAAGTAAATTATAAGGTTTTTACACTGAATAATATCCATTTTCACCTTATTGCCGTCTTCTACTTTGTTGAATTGCTGGATTGGCATAACTAGTTACGATTGGATGAAGATAAACAACTTGAAATTATTGATGTTTAAAGTTTGACTTGACTCAAATCAATATTTTAATTACTTTCGAAAATCTATATAAACATTTAATTATTCAAACTTTTATTGTGTTTGTATTGATTATTTATAGAATTGAATCTGCCATCTTTTACCAAAAATAATCAATTGGACCAACCCAAACGAAGATCAGTAGAGCCTCAATTAATGTGCAAAATGGAAATTATCACCAACAAGCTCACCCTTTCTACTTTTACTTGCATGATGCAGAAATTTTTTACTCTGAAATAATTTAATTATGATATAATAATAATTAATAAGTCAACAAGGATTATCTTCGTTTGATAAGGTAGAGGAAATTTGTGCTCATGTGGTTCCCAATTTCAATCTCACTGACAGCAGCAAATGAGATCCGCGTCAGTAGGAAATGGAAGATTACTTGCAGCGTCCGTGGTGACTTTTTCCAGTTATTTTATTAAATAAGTAAAATACTTATATATCAATGATAATACAAGTTTTTAGTGAGAATATATATAATATAACGAGTACACGTGAGAAATATAATCTACAAATTCGTATCTAAAATCTGGTTTCTACACTGATTTTATACGAACAATGTCATCTGTGTATTGATTTGCTTACAAGATTAGGAGACCATTTGAGATTTATCCATTATTAAAAATATCTATTGAGGGAAGAAACTTCAACCTCCGAAGTTGCCTGGTGATTTCTATACATTTTCTATATATACCAGAGCTTTATATATATACACACACACACACACACACACACACACCACAGGCTGTACATGCAAGTCGCTCAAGTAATCTAACTATGATAAAACAAGATCGGAAGAAGAAAAAATATGGTTTGAAATGTCAAGCTAATTAAGACATTACTTAGAATTTTCATAGATATTTATGACTACAAATACAGCAAGTATTCCAGCATTAGAAGGTAAGAAAAGAGATTAGAAGAAGAAGAAGAAAAAGAAGTGAAATGGCGAGAGAGTTGGCCTATGTTAGTGACAAAGGCAATGGAGGTGCAGGTTTTGTGATGAACAACTTTGCAGGTGGAGGCCTCTTCTTGCTTTTCATGGTGCTTGTCTCTCTCTCGCCTGTGTCATTGGTCGTCTTCATTTTGCGGCGACAATGATGATCACAAACCCCGCAAAAGATTTTCTGGTGGCGGCGGCGGGGAAGGAGGTTGCTGAGAACCAGGCTATTGAATTCAGTATCAATTTGAACTCTGCATTTGCAGTTCAAGGTTCTATATATCCGCTTGTATCATCATCCCCTGGCATTTACATACAATAATAATAATAACTAATAATGGATTGAGAGGGTCATATGGGCCGGGGATGAAACCTTTTTGCATTTCAGAATTCACTTTACAAAAATTTTTTACCTTGTTTTTTTGTTTTTGTTTTATTTTCAGGTGTTGATGAAATTAAAACTTAAAATTAGAAAATAAAAATTGATTGATTATTAATTAATAAATATAATTTTAATATATTAATAAAACTTTGGTCAGCAGTAACTTTTTATTTACCATTTAAAGTTATGCAAAAGAATATATATATATATATCTCGCCAGTTCTTTTTTGACCTTGGCATTGGCTTTTAATAATTTTGAAGTTCTTTCCCTTCAAAATGGGTTTAAAACTAATGTAGAATTATAGAAATTCGATACAATTTAAATATATTATTCTAATTCCAAATAAAATTCAAATACAAAAAATATATATATTTTTTGTATGAACTTAATTTTGTATTTAGAAACAAATTCTATATCATCTCTGAATTTATACCAAACATAGAGAAAAAAGTAATTGAGTGGATGAAAAAAATTGACCCACACAAAACAATGTTTTGGCAAAAGATAATAATACCCAAAAGCATTGTAAATGGCAAGCACCATCAATCTGCTTTCAGAAAACTCATTGATCAAACTTCATCATCAACCAGCTGTATTGTGTTACATAGAAACTCCATTTGGCTTTGCACAACTTTAATTATTATGATTTTTTTTAAAAAAAAATTAGTATTAAGATTATAAAATAAAGTTTATATTGGCAAGAGGGCCACGAAAATTATTCTTGGAAGCCCATTTGGCAATTTCTTAAAAATATTATTATTCAATTCATAAAACACAAATAATTTCTTAAAAAGCATTTGATTTCACTTTTATCAAAGACCCAAAAAAAAAAAAAAAAAAAAAAACAGATTTTGTTAGAATTATAATTTTGTAATTGAATTTGCAAAATTTCAACCAAAACAACACTTAACGCCTAATATTATTAAACTAAACATGATTATAATACACTAAAATCTTATATTAAACACAATTTTTCTTCTCAAATCTCAAAGCACTTTTACCCCCCTTCCCCCCAGACACCGAGGATGAGACAAAACTCAACTGAATCCATCAAAATAAAACTATCCATCAGCGAATCCAATTTCACAAAGCATATTTTCTCTTTCCTTTCTCATTATTATATTCTCCAAAACGTGAGTTGCAAGCTCCTCTCTCGTGTTTCTACGAACACGCTTTTCTATGACAAATCTCTTAACTCACAAAATTCACCTCCCCTTCAAGAAGACCTCAATTGGAGAAATAGATAACCAGAGGAGGAGAATCTGCAATCTAATCAGAACAAGCGAAAGGAAAGTTGCCAAGAAGATTAGATACGACCCACAACACATAACCAGTAAATAAATATATGTATAATTCTTAAGCTTTTGATATGATTATTGGTACAGACAAGTATAAATATAATGAACCCAGATCCTCCCAACCCAAAAAGAATCCACCTTAATCCACCAAACCACCGGAAACAATAAAATCAATGGACACAAAAACAGACCTCAAATTTAGTTGATGGCGTCACACCTGCGCCTGATCTCCCCTCTCCTCCCGGTCTTCACTCCATAAAGGCTGAGTTTCTGCATCGCTCGAGCAAAATCCTGGAAAAACTTTGCCTGATCTTTGGCGTACAATTCCACGAGTTCTCTCGTCCTCGGGTCACCGTAAAGCCCGTGATCCGACTCCAAGAGCCCCAGACCCTTGGGCAGGTTCTGGAAATACAGATTGTCGAACTTGTTGGGTGTCATTATATCGTTGAACACCGATAGGGTCGGGTCCTTGGGATAACCAGCACAGGCTTTCTGCAATCCGGCCGCGAATCTCGGGTTGTAATGGCTATCGTTCCCGATTCGGGAGCTGAACTCCTTGCAGTGCGAGAACCCGACGGTGTGGCGCCGCTCAGAGCTACCATCTCCTGACACTGAACCCGCGGGAGCGAGAGGTCGATGAGTTGGGAAATGGGCATCGAAG